ATGTTTAGGATAGATATATAGTTACATTCTTTTAATGAATAGAGGGATTTGTTCTAATGGTGTTTGTAAGTAGGATATCATGTCCTCATCTTGTACAGCAATTAACCACTAGGAAGAATGTATGCAATGTGTTAATTATTGAAACTGTCCTGCCAATTTGATTTGAAACTGTCTCATTGCTATTTGTTTATCAATAAAATTATGAAAAAAATATAGAAATTTGTTAAAAATGTTTATACCCTAAATATGTTGCTGTATTTTCTGTGAAATAATACAGAATTGTCAACATAGGTGTGCATCTAAATTTTGTGTTTTATCTTTAGTTTCTTTGGGATTTAGTAATTTAGGAAAATTAGTCACTTTGTTAGTTACTAGCCAATTTTGCCTTTTAATTGACAAAAATTATATTAAAGGATCATAACATTAACTTCTTTTACATTCACTTATGTGTACTTACAAGATTTACTCTGTATAATACCCTGCAAACTTCATAACTTTTCCAAAATTTGAATTTCATAAAATTTTGCAATTGGGAAATTTCTATGTACAAAGTATAAATAACTACATTTTAAAATTATAAATCGCTTCTCTGTTTGTATTTTAGGTCCTACTTGCAAGACCACAAGGCAAGATTTTCTTCAAGAACCAAAAACTCTCATTGCTCAACATCATGAGAAGATAAATACAGTTAGTGCTTTCAATTTACTTAATGTTTTTGAGAAAAATAATAACAATCTTTATGTGTACTGACATCGTTCTTTCATAGGATTGCATGAGTCCTAGTGTGAGATAGGTTCTCAATAGAGTGAAAATGAAACACTTATTAGCTGCAGGAATTCATTTTATATGCCATCTAAAAATAAGATTGTTTAGTTCTATAAACTAATTCAACATATGTATTTAGTTTGTACATGTAGAAATTTTTGATGTTTTCTTTTGACAAATTGTAGCACAATTTTTGAGTTTGTTTCAAGTAAATATCCCTTTACATTCTATTGGACAGACTGAAGTGAAAAATCTACTGTAAGATGCACATCTTCAGTGCCCTTACAGTGACACTTCGCCTGTGCTCTCCCCCACCTTGCTTTGCCTTCAGACTGTCAGCCAGGCTGACAGCTACTCAAGGGCGTAGACTCTTCTTTGAATGTTGCTTCTTCAGCAATAAGCACTGTGCCCCACACAAGCCACAGCTTCTGGATAACCTAGGTTTGGAAGGTGAGCAGAAAGGCAAAAAGGGGATGGAATGGTGTAGAGAAGCAGTCACTGAGGAGGTGGATAATTTGGGGGAGGGGCACCTTTTGTGACAAATGGACCTTTGGGGACACAGGTTAGGAAAGGAAGTTGACTCACAAACATGAGAGTTACATTCCACTTTTGACTTAGTCTCCTTTTTAATAATTAAAAAATTTAGACAGAATTTTACATAATGATTTTAAAAGTTTCAATGCTTTTTTTTTTTTTTTTTTTTGGTGAGAAAGGGGTGTTTCATTTTTACTTGTGTTTCTTTTGGCTGTTCCTCTCAGCAACAGCAAAACTTTTAGAGCTTTCAATGCTAACAAACAGCCGGCAGCAGCATGGCCGCTACCGGCCGTAGATACTTCTAATTTTGTGATCAACACTGTTAATATTACTTGACTGATTTTTTTTTCCTAAAAATTTTAAAATTATTTTCAATGATATTAATTTCATGAATAGGTCGGTGCAT